TCTACAGTAACATTCTGTATACTATTTTTACATTTCATTGAACAATAACTCCAGGTAAAAGCATTCTAAACGATAGAATGTGAACTTATAATTTACGAATCTAACAATATATCACATATTTACTTATGAAAACCCTGTGAAAAGGGAAAGTGTTTCGAATATCATTTTCCTATTGTCGACTAAAGTTTAATTTATAAACATGATCACCTTATATATTACACTTTAGATTCCAAGCTATGTGTAAAGGACATAATGGCATGTTCCTGTGTAATAGCAGCTAATTCTTTTAGCCATTCGTCTAATATAACTGCACATAACACCACATTTTGTACTGGACTTACTTCATTTGGCGACTCCCAGGAAGTTTTCGTGTAAAATCTATTAAATTAAGAATTCTATTAACACAATCGATATTATGATACTTTTCATACATAATTCTACAAGAATATTTTACATTCGAAAGAATTAAATAGATTTCGGCTCAAGTTGTAGATCATTATTTACTATTTAATTAGAAATATTTTTAGAGATAATTTTATTACCGATATCCGGAACCATGTCCAATAGCTTCTAACTGATCTTCCAATGCACCGGTTGGCTGATTGGTAGTAGCACTGACTAAACTACTAGGACCGGAATTAACACTTGTTCTTCTAAGCATTTGTGTAAAAGACGATGTAAAACTCCATCTCTTACTTTCGCCTGAAAATATAATACCTTTAGATATAATTTTTACATTTAACATTTCTGCATTATTTACGTGTATGTGAATATTTTATTGATCATACATACATCGTTTGAATACTTCCGAAAAGCAAAACAGATGTTAAGATAATTCTATATTAACTTATGTAAACGTGCGCACATATGAGAAGAAAATACTAATATAAAATACAGAAAGCTTTATCATACTCGATTATACATTTGAACTGTCCAATTTCGAACGACGGCTTTAAAATCAATATAATAAAATTTTCAATTATGATGGTTCCGAATTTTCATAAAAATTAAATTAACCAATTCATTTAAAATTAGAATCAGACATTTCATACGATACAACCTGATATTATATTATATAATTAATTATATAACAAACCATACCTCTCGAAAATGGCTCTACACTCAAAGAATTTCTTTTAACAGGTGCAGAGTAAGCGGCAGCCTCTAACGCATTTTTTCTGGCATTCACTAACTTATCTTCACGACTAATCAGAAATAATCGTGCTTGTTCTACTAATACATCTACATTGTTATGTTGAGAGAGAAACTGATCTATCTTATGCTTTAATGAGGCAAGTACCTAAGAAACAGAATTACGTTTTCTTTTAGAAGATGGCAAAGATTTGTTGATTATTTTTTATAAATGACATTATTATTTAGTTACAAACCTGAAAAAGCGACCTAATACTGGGTTGAAACACCAGAGAATGGTTTAGAAGAAATGATTGCAACAAAGGTTGTGGATATATCGCCAGTCTACTGATAAGACCAGTTAAATGTAAATTAACATATAAATTATTACTTGTCATACACTCTAGCTTCCTTAGAAGAACATCCAAAAATATACCGACATTAGGCTGTCCATTAAATACATCCTGGCGACAGGTATCTTTACTTTGCTTAGTCGCTGTTAATTCTCCCGATACTATAGAACCAGAATCCGTAACATTATGCAAAGAAGGAATGCCACCTTCTTTATTCAATTCGATTTCTATTTTGTCCTGTTCACTCATTCGATCTTCACTAGGTTCATTGTCCGGAGTTGACTCGGACGAACCTTTAAATGCGAAACTTTCGTATCCACTACTTTCTCCTAACGATAAAAAAGAGTTCATTGCGGTATTAGAATCGTCAATGCCACTGTCGGGTTCCTTTTTATCCGTCAATGAAATCTCCTTAATAGAATCTAAGATTCCAAAGTCTTCGTTTAACAGTTCAGCAATGTCTGCGTCCAATTTCGCTTGTTCTTCTAATGATAATTCTATACCTACTGCTTCTGTCTCAATTCTTTCTTCTTCTTCTTCTTCCTCTTCTTTCATGTTCAAATCTTTTCCATCTAGTAACGATTGAATATTAATTAATATATTGTCTATTGAAGAGTTTTCGATGACGCTACTTGAAATTGCTGATTCCTTTAATTTTTCTAACGATAAAGTTTTCACCACTTCGACTTTATTCTGTGAATACTCCGCTAACATAGTATTGTCTGTCAACGTTGTCTCGCTTCCGGTAGTGCTTTGCTTTGGCAGCTCTCCGTTATATTGATATGACCAATTGGAGCATGCGACACGACAAGCTCTTATTTTTTGTCTAGCGTCGCACAGATATGCATGATAATTTCCATACAAACTATCCGATATCCTTGCACCATAGTTTATAGATGCAGACAACGATTTAAAAGATTCAGATGTAGCACTTGCATTATTTTCCTGAGTTGTACTGTTAGGTAAAGAATTGAATTGAGAATTTACAGATGCGAGCGGTGAACAGCAAGATGGAGTTAATGACAAAAACTTCTCAGCAGCACGTCCAAACGGATCTATGTCTCTTAACCTTCTACGCTGAGAAAGCATTACATGAGAACAAGGACTCAATGCAGCTAAACATAGTTCCAACATAACATCTTCGCAATTTAAGTTCACCAAAGTTTCAAATAGTGCCAGGGTAACTATGCATAACTAAAATATAAAAATGTTATCAGAAGATTATAAGTTATCTTTACACTGTATAATAACTGAAGAAATGTTAATACTGATAATATTTTTACCCTCGATCTCGATGATATCCTTTGAATAAGACTATCCAGAATTCTGCACTCATCGTAATTATCTTCTAGTAAAAATCGGACAAGCGAACGTAAAAGACCAGGTTCTGTTACAGATCGAAGAAATAAATCAAAATAAGCTGTCGCTGCAACTAATTCATCCACAGTAGTCTGTAATATTAAGAGATTAGTCATCCATGGCATTATAAGAATTCACATGAAATAATTATTTCTTTCTAGATAAACGTAAGAAATATTTTAAATTTTAATTTAATACTTTTTATTGAAAAAATAAGCTCGTTAATAAATCAAATATTAGAATTAA